TGGGTGAAATGGGTGGGGAATGATAGAGGTAGGCAGCTGGTTCCAAATTGGGATGACGGAGTGGGGAAAGGCTCGGCTCACATTGTTCCTGGAATTGGCAGGAAGAACATTCTGTAACTGATGGGGATGCGCGGTGGACAGTCGTACAGCCTGGCGGGTGAGGCGTGTGGTCCTGGGTTGGTGTGTCGGGGGTGGAGCCACTCTCGAGAGAAGAGCGGGAGAATTATCGCAAAGGGCTTTATACAGGAGGCAGAGGGCAGCGATGGTGCGGCGAATTATGAGGCTAGGAAGCCAGCATTGCGGATGTATTGCTTTGATGGCACGCTCCTGCACCCAGTCCAGCCGATTCAAGTGGGAAGAAGCTGCCCCCATCCAGACGATTGGGCAGTACTCCATAACCGGCCGGACAAAGGCTTTGTAGGCTCGAAGCCGGGCAGGAATAGTCAGCAAGTGAAATGCCTTGCGCAAGGCTCCAAGTCTCTGCGTTGCTCGGACTACAACAGTTCGGATATGCTGGCTGAATTTTAGCTGATGGTCAAACGTGACGCCGAGTACCTTGATGGAGGGCTGCTCCTCGACAGGAGTTCCATTGAAGACAATGGGGGGTATTGGCCAGTCCCGACGATGGTGGGAAATTGTAAGGGCCTGAGATTTGGCTGGCTCGAACTGCACTTTCCAATCCGAGCCCCAACTGGATACTAGGTCGACAGCAGCCTGGAGTACTCTAGCGTTGTCAGGAACAGCAGCGAGCGTTGCAATTTCGGCGTATAGGGTTGTGTCATCGGCGAATGAGGCAAGGTTGGAGCCGATTGGGAGGTGGTCTTCAAGGTCGTTGACGTAGACCAAGAATAAGGTGGGGCCCAGGATACTGCCCTGTGGCACCCCAGCCTTAACTGGGCGTCTGGCTGATGTCTGGCCGGAGATGAGGACTTGAAGTGTGCGGTTGCAGAGGTAGTCTTGGAGCCACCGATGCAGGTCTCCCAAGATGCCATACACTCTAGCCTTGTGCAACACACCAGTGTGAGACACCCGGTCAAATGCTCCAGCAATGTCGATGGCCAGCACTCGAGAAGCTCCTTTATCTCCGGCGGTGTGCACCCACTGGTGGTGGAGAGCAGTCAGCAGGTCTGCTGCACTGTGGCCGCGACGGAATCCAAATTGCCGTTCTGACAGGACGTGATTCGTCTCCATGAAGTTGCTCATTGCCCTGTTGACTATGGTCTCCATGACCTTGGAGAGGATGCTCAGTAACGACACTGGTCGATAGTTTGATGGCGACGATTTAGACTTGCGCTTGTGGACTGGAACCACGTTTGCAACCTTCCACTGTTGTGGCTGGATACCGGAGCGAAGACAGCAGGTAAATAGTTTTGAAAGCGGCCGTGCCAATTCTGCAGAGCAAGCTTTCAAGACGCGGGCAGGTATCCCTTCTGGACCAGTGGCCTTGGTGGGGTTGAGCTGGCGGAGAGTTCGCTCGACTGTGGTTTCGCGAAACCGGACGGTGCAGAGGTTGCGGTCAGTACGTGGTCGGACGTAAGGAAATGGAGCGGATAGGTCGTCTGCCCCTAGACTGCATTTGTTGGCGAAGTGTTCGGCCATGCACTCTGCTTTGCTGCGGTTGGTGTCGTGCTCCGTACCATCGGTGCTGCGGAGAGTAGGTATGGATGGGCTGTTTCCGTGGCCAGAGGCCTTCTTGATGGTTCGCCACCATTCACCAGACGACATACACCCAGAGGCTAACTTCTGCGCCAGGCTTGCTGTGAATGCTTGCTTGGCAGTTTCCAGGCAATGGTTAGCCGAGTGCTTGGCGACATTGTAACGGGCTTGCAGCTGGGCACTTGACCGGTCGGCGCAGAGTCTCCTCCATGCTCTTTGTTTCTGTGCTACAGCCTCAGTGCATTCCGGTGTCCACCAAGAGGGGTTAGATGGTTTCATGCACAATTGCTTAGACGGTATGTATCGGCGCATTCCTTCCAGAATATTCTGGGTCAAGTGCATACACATTGCATCAGGATCATCACTGACAGTGGACTGCCAATCTGTTGTTCTAAAGAAGTGGCGGAGTCTGTCCCAATCTGCGCGTTGGTAACGCCAGACAGTTCTGGTCACTGGTGGTTCCTCTGCTGTGCTTACATGAAAGTCAGCTAGGACACAGGCATGGTCAGAGTTTCCCAGAGGTGCTAAGGTATTGACGGTCGCATCTCCCGGTAGGTCAGTCATTATTAAGTCGAGTGGGTTAAGGCCCCTGGTGGGCTCATGCACGTGCTGCTCCAAGCAGTGAAAAGCACACATGTCTTCAGTGTACACACCTGCATGAGTTGTCTTGGTGCTGCCGAGCCAATCCATGTTGTGTACGTTAAAATCTCCAGCCAATACCACATATTGACAAGATTTACGGGCCAGGTCTATGCCAGCACTGATGGCTTCAAGGGTACTGATGTCATTGTCGTGGCAGGAGCCAGAGCGATATGCAGCACACACAGCCACTGACTTCTTATCCACAGTTCTGACACTCAGCCATATTAGCTCCTCATTACCGACCTGGATGTCATCGAGTTCTCGGAGGGCCAGACTGGCTTTAACCCAAACCGCAACTCCTCCTCCATGAGCTGTTCGATCCTTCCGCAGTGGGGAGTAGTACCCAGGCAAGGACAGTTCGGAATCAGTAGCCTTCTCAGGGGTTAGCTTGCTCTCTGTGACAATGGCAATGTCAGGTTGGTGAACGTGTACAGCATGGTGAAAGTCACCAAGTTTACTCAGTAGTCCAAATGTGTTCGTCAGCAGGATCCGAAAGGATCTAATTGGAGCTTTGAGCTTGAGTGTCGGAGGACTCGGAGAGAGCGTCACTGTGTGAGCCGGACAAGGTGTCCCCCTTTGGAGCATCACTGAGAGTGTCACTGTGTGAGCCGGACAAGGTGTCCCCCTTCGGACGCTCACGGTGGCGCCAAACCCTCGCGTACAGTGGGCGAGGCCAAAAGTTTGGAGCAGTGGCGATTTCAAGGTCAGTCGCATCGATCATCAAGCGGGCAGACACTTTCCCATCTTCTGTGGTGTGTATGCTGCACTGGTGAACCTTCACCGGTTTGTTTACTGCTGCAGAGCGTTGCTCAGTGAATTCCTTGACACTTTCTTCACTGCTATGTGAGTTCAAATTGCCCACATAGATTACGGCTTTCTTCACTCTGTGAGGTTCGTTTGATACCAGTTTCCACGTGTCATCCGTGATTGGCTCTAGCTTCAGTGGCTTGGGCTTGACAGTGGGCCGCTCAATTGCCTGGGACTTTTCCTCATCCTCCGTTGACGTTTCATGGTCACTGGCAGGGTCACCCACGCTACGGGAAGTGCTACGGTGTTCGTCTGCATCAGTGGTACACGTGGCAGCCTGGCCTGCGCGAGTACGGGTACGCTTGCTGGTCCTTCCCGCTGTACTCTCCATCGTACGCTGGCTGTGCTGGTTGTGCATGTGGGCAACTGCTGGAGGAGTCAGGGGAGAAGCACTTGCTGCGACAATGGCGGACTCCCTGAGGGCGACAACCTCCTCGTTCAGGCCTGCAATTTGCCTCGATAAATCATCGATCCTATTCTTTAGTCGTGTCTCGCGGTCTGCGGACTCCGTCACAAATGTTGCCAGCGTCTTTACTACGTCTAAAATCGAAGACTCGATCCCGGGGAGGGAGCACAACAATTTTACCTCCGAATCCGTCAGCCCGCGAACGGCAGCTTTTGCTGGAGGCATGGCGGAGGTAGGCTAAAGCTATCCGATGTCTACCTAGTTTCCTACTACTACTACTATACCTAATGTTTGAAACCAGGCCGGCCTGATGCCGGTTTCCTGGCGAGAAACTGTGGGAGCCTCAGAGCGCGAAAACCTGCACCCTGCTCCAAAGTTTGAAAAAAAAAAATGTACGTGTGCCTGATTCAAAAACATTGTTGAAACACACAGTGGTGACACACCGGTCATGCTGCCCATGTTCCTCCAAGTGCCAAAGTGACAGTCACGACTGTTCCTTTCCCATCGCTGCCATACGCCAAGCGGAAAAAGCAAGAGATACTCTACGCCAGCAGCTAAACAAACCAGCGAATGTCAGCTCAAGTGACATCAGCTCGAGTGATACAGAGCCAGAGTCGGATAAACTAAAGCGTGAGTGCAAGAACGCGCTCCGTCGCTGTTTTCTTTTGTACATTTTTTGTAACGTTGCTTCCTTTCTTCGACTTGCTTCATCAAATTACATCGCTGAATTATTTTTCTTGTGGCGGAGAGGAATCCTGTTTCATGGTTCTTCACTATGCGTTTTAGAAATTTTACAGAGCGATAAAATAACTCCTGTTCATAGTTGCGATAGATAAGCGACAATTGCCATGAAACGGACCAAGTACATGCAGTGCCTTATCGGTTCTAGCCTCCCAATTCTAGCAGAATTATGCGCTGTAGAGAACTGGTTTGAAAAGTACAACTACATGCAGTACACTATGGGCGCGTTCGAATTTTCAATCTTTGACTTTTCGGGGAGTTTCGTTTACCTGAAGACGTGGCCTTTTTGGCCTCCTCAGAAAAACGAAGCGCCTCGAAACTCTACAACCTCAGATGGGAGAGGTGGATTAGTTTCGAAGAGTTGGGAATAGCTACATCACGTAGTACAGGGAGATGGTCGATCTGATCGGATGTCATCATCGCCATGACAATTCCGCTGAAAAACTCTAAAATGATAGAAACTGTTCTAATGGGACACTTCAACTAATCTCTTTATAAAATTTGTTTGAATCGTTGATGAAGACAATTCGAATGCGCCCTATGATGGTATATTGGCCACCGCAATGAACAGATTATGAAACTCCCTACAGTTTGGATTTCGGAAGACTGGTCTTGCAGTATATTAAGGTAGCTCGAAATCAAAAACTGTGCCCGCAAATCGCAAACTAAAACCAGCGCAAACGTTGCCCGGGTTACCGTAGACACTTGTGTAATGTAGTCATGGCAACAAGATGGCGGCGCCACTTACCCTGACAGACCATGCCAGTGCCGGTGAATCCAGGGTTGCACATACACATGAAGGAACCCTGGGTGTTGGAGCAGTTAGCTTCAGCAGCACAGCTATGTGTACCAAGAGAACACTCATCAAGGTCTGTAGACAAGAATGGGGGGAGAGAGAGAGAGAGAGAGAGAGAGAGAGAGAGAGAGAGAGAGAGAGACACGCATCTTTCAGCACAGGTCTGCAGTAAAAGTATTATGACTGTACACCCCTCTTAGTTTCGAGCCACCCTTGCGAAGAACTTTTTTTCTTCTTTTCGGTACTGGTTGTTGGGTTCTGTGAAATCAGGGTTGGTTGGATGGTCACATAGTTTTGACTGGTCACAGACTCCGCTTCACTCCGTGACTCTGTGGCCCATTCAGGAACCTGTGAGCATAGTCACACCGCTCTTCAACTAGTCGTGCCGTCATACAACCCGACAACCAGTCATCCCCAGGATGCTTCCCATTACTGTATTTGTATAGAAATAGTTGGGTGCTCAGACGGCTGGAGGAAGTGAGCATGTTCAGGATCATTATCACAAGCATGGGCACTGTTCTTCCATCTGAGCGCCAGATTCTCGATTTATTCGAAATGAGAGGAGAAATAACGAAGTCATGCAGTGCCATATTGATTCTACCCTTCTCCCTCCCAGTGGTATTACCTGCTGTTCTTCGACCTGAGCGCCAGCAATGGTACCTTCTGGATCAAAATGAGGTAGGAAATACTACATGAACTCGGACAATAAACTACATGCAATGCTTTATCGGTTCTAGCCTCCCAATGTTAGCAGTATTATCTGCTGTAGATAACCGGTTTTGAAAAGTACAACTACATGCAGTATACTGTAATAGTATATTGGCCACCGTAATGAACAGTTTGTGAAACTCACTACAGTTTGGATTTCGGAAAACTGGTCTTGAAGTGTATTAAGGTAGGTCGATAGGAAATCAAAAACTGTGCCCGCAAATCGCAAACTAAAACCAGCACAAACGTTCCAGGTTACCGTAGATACTTGTGTAACGTGGTCATGGCAACAAGATGGCGGCGCCACTTACCCTGACAGGCCATGCCAGTGCCGGTGAATCCAGGGTTACACATACACATGAAGGAACCCTGGGTGTTGGAGCAGTTAGCTTCAGCAGCACAGCTATGTGTACCAAAAGAACACTCATCAAGGTCTGTAGACAAGAATGGGGAGAGAGAGAGAGAGAGAGAGAGAGAGAGAGAGAGAGAGAGAGAGAGAGAGAAAGGTTGAGAGAAAGAGAGAGAGAAAGAGGGAGAGATAGAGAAAGAGAAAGAGAATGATAGAGAAAGAGAGAGAGAGATATAGATAGAGAAAGAGAAAGAGAGAAAGAGAAAGAGAGAGAGAGAGAGAGAGAGAGAGAGAGAGAGAGAGAGAGAGAAAGAGAAAGAGAGAGAGAGAGAGAGAGAGAGAGAGAGAGTGAGAGAGTGAGAGAGAGAGAGAGAGAAAGAGAGAGAGATAGAGAAAGAGAAAGAGAGTGATAGAGAAAGAGAGAGAGATAGAGATAGAGAAAGAGAAAGAGAAAGAGAGAAAGAGAGAGAGAGAGAGAGAGAGAGAGAGAGAGAGAGAGAGAGAGAGAGAGAGAGAGAGAGAGAGTGAGAGAGAGAGAGAGAGAGAGAGAGAGAGAGAGAGAGAGAGAGAGAGAGAGAGAGAGAGAGAGAGAGAGAGAGACACACACACGTCACGCTGCACAGGTCTGGTATAGAAGTATTATGACTATACACCCCTCGCTCTGGTGAAATGTTGTTCTCTCCCAAAGAGGTGTCGGTATAATAGACCATTTGCGCAAATAATAGTAGGGGGGCGAAAGGGGGCAAGCATACGCGTAGAGGGCGTCAGGTGACCCAGCGCTGCAGCAGCGCGCATGCAGCAGCGCTGGGTCAAGGAGACAAAGTACACACTTTCTTGCTGGTTTTGTTTTTTTCGAGTAGACAGAGCTGGTGCACAGTCGAGTCACACGGTCATGGAGGGTGAGGACGGCAAAGTCGGTACGAGTAGTGTCGGAGAGCTGGTAGAAGAGGTTCCTCAGCCTTCTTGGACTATAAAGCAGCTGAGAGATTATCTACGAAAGCAGGGCGATTTGTTGACAGGACGGATAGCGGAGCTACTTACGAGGTACGTTCATACGGGGCTTCGTCGACTGATTTTTTTTACCTACACTCACTCACGAACTGCGCGTGACATTTGTTCTACATCCAGGGCGTTATTCTACAAATCCAATCCCGAAGCACCAATGAGCAAGCGGTCGACCCGTGATGCAGCTCCCGTCGCCACGCGCACTCCAGCACCAGTATTTCCTGACTCTGGCTGGACCCAAGACAGATCGAAACTTCCTCGTGTAACAGCATCCACGATCTTGTCGCATTTGCTGCTTACTGGAAAGCAAGTTCGCACCAGTGAGAGCCATGTATTCATCATCAGGAAGCCTCTAGATCGGGGACACGAGCTGTATTTTGGTGGATACAT